AGCTGGGGGAGCCGAGCTCAGTGAAGGAGGGAGAGGGGCACAGGGTGGTGGGGTGGGGGGGCAGGGGCCAGGTTGCACAGGGCTTCCCGGGTCTAGCTTAGGGCTTGGAGCTCATCCCGTGATCAAGGCATCTTTGTTTCTGCCTTGATTTTGAGGCTGAAACAGGGGTCAGATCTGCACCTTAGGAAGATCACTGGGAAGATGGTCCTGGCTGCAGTGTGGAGGGTGGACCCGAGGGTGGGTGAAACTGGAGGCCAGGAGGCAATGATGGCTGGCAATAAAGCAGAGGCGTCGGGATGGGAAGGAGGGGATGGCCTTGAAAGGCGACTAGGGGGTGGAACAAAGAGGGGTTAGACTCCAGGACATGGGGATGAGGAGTCAGAGGACCCAAGCTTTCTGGCCAAGGGGCGCAGGTTTGCAGAAGATGTGGCATTCCATTGTGGACCAGTGGCCCGTGAGGTGCTCAGGTGCAGTAAATGGCAGGGGCAGAGTGGGAGTCAGACGGGAGGAGCACAACCAGGAGGCAGATGGGCCTGGAGAACCTTCCAGGTGAGTGTGAGGGCACACAGGGAAGGCGGAGCACCAGGGAGGACGGGAGCTGGGGGAAGGGGCCAGGGGAACGAGGAGCTTCGACTCTCAAGGTCCTGGGGGAAGTTGCCACTGACATCTCAAACCCCAGGCCTGAGAGGTCGTTTTGTCTAGCCCCTGCCTCTCCCAGGGCCTTCCCCACCAGGGGGGCTAGGAGGGCCCCTGTGAGGGCTCCTGCCTGTGCTCTGGTGGAGTGGAGAGGAGTGGGAGGCGGCGCCCAGCAGCCCGGATGAGGGGCCTGGCCCTGAGATCTGCCGCCCGGGCGATTTCTCCTCTTCTTGGGCCTCAACTCTCCCATCTGCAGAGGGGGATCGTTCTGCCCAGCTCAGGGGGAGAGGACGGGTGAGTGTGAAAGCGTCCGCCTTGTTCCTGGGCGCGCGGCACTGAACGGCACCCGTGGAGAGTTCTCTGCAAGCCGCGAAGCGTGAACAAGGAGTCACACCAGGCTCCTTCGGGCTGCATTTCAGTGTCTTGGGAGGTGAGAAGCCCGGGGAGAGAAACAGGGCCTGAGCGGGGCCGCTCGACCGCCG